TTCCATGTCTAGAAGATAGCTCCCAACTGTCTGTCTTGTTAGTGCTGGTACCTCCAGCACCTAGAACAGAGCCTCGCCTGGAGTAAACTCTTTATCTTTCTTTCTTTTTTTTTTTTTTCCGTTCTTGTTTTTCGTTTTTGTTTGTTTTGTTTTGTTTTGTTTTTGCAAGGGGGCAAGGTAATTAGGTTTGTTTGTTTATTTATTTATCTATTATTTTTAATGGAGGTACTGGGAATTGAATTCAGGACCTCGTGGATGCTAAGCATGTACTCTGCCATTGAGCTATCCCTCCTGCCTTATCTTTCTTTCTTGAATGAATACTGTTTTCCCTAAGGACAGTGACTCCCCCTTTCCTGAGCCCCAGAAGCCTCATATGGATAATGGGGATTACAATTCTGATCTGAGAAGATTAGATGAGACAATGTGAGTGCAAAGATTTTGCTTCTCTGTTCTCACCTACAGGTGCCACCACAGAAGTGGGCAGTGCCCTCCATGAGACGTGACACTTGTTTCAGGCTGACCCCTGAATTCTTCTTCAGTCCTGGCAATTTCAGGGGACTGGATGCTCATGCCCAACAATGGGCCCAAAAGAAGAGATGGAAATACTGGAGGAGCCTCCGGGAATCATGGACCCAATACCCGCTCCCCTGTCAGCACCCATGTCAAGGTTTACATTGGGATGCCTACACCCCATCTGGACACATCTTTTGCACCACCTGCTTTTCAAGCACCTGTATGCTTCCTCAGGAAAGTTCTCGGGAAGCATGGCAGGTACCATGGTGTCACAGTGATGACCAGACTCACCTGATTTGCAAGCTACCGTCCCCTGCCCTGGACATGTGCCAAAGGGTGGAGCAGTTGTTGGTCCACTCACAGGAAGAATTGGTACCACTGGAGCATATTGTCAGCTTGAGACCTCACCCCAGCTCCATGACCTCTCTTCCAAACCTCCCTTCAGCTCAGAGGCTGCAGTTGTTTTCCAGGGACTTCCTACCTGTTCCTTCCAACCAACACGTGGGAATGTCCATCTGGAAGTCCTGGGGCTGCCCACAAGAGGCCTGGGCACCGGAAAGGGAAACCTGGACACCAGGCAGAGAGGATAGTAGAGAGACACAGGATCCAGGGTGGGCGAACCAGAGAGTGAGCAGAGGGGAGGATGCTCGGGGGGTTCAAGCATCTGGACGGCAACTCCCAGCAAACGCTGGGCTGGAGGAGAATGCAAGGACTAAGGTCTTGAAGTGGGGAAGCCAGAGACTAGTAATAAGTAAAACTGCTGGAGGAATCTTGAGACCAAGGTGGGAGAACCAGGACCAGGTGGGAGTCGAAACTCAGGAACTAGGGAAGAGAAATCAGAGGGAGGCTGGAGGTGAGGATCTTCCTGAAACCCAGGCATGTATAGGAGAGAACCAGGAACAGTTAAGATGTAAAACTGACACAGAGACCCAAACACCAGTGTGGGAGAACCAGGATAGGAGTAGGGATGAGTATGCTGTAGAGACCCAGGCATTTGAGAAGGACAGGAAAGGGGCCAGAGCGGAGGATGAAGGAGAGACCCAGGCCCAAGGATTGAGGAAGCAGGGCCAGACTGAAAGTGAGAATGGTGAGGAGTCTCAGGTGCCAGGGTGGGGAAAACAAGACCAGATTAGAGGTGATATCAGTACAGAAACTCTGGCAGAAGAGAGGAGAAAAAAGGACCAGGTTGGAGGTGAGAATGCTGTGCAAAGCCAGATATCTGGGAGGGAAAACCTGGGAGAAGTTAAAAAAGAGGATGGCATGGAGACCCAGGCCCTGGGGTGGGAAAAACAGGAATGTGTTCCAAGTGAGAATGTAACAGAGATCCAGATGCCAGGGTGGGAAAAGCAGGATCAAGGTGCAAGTGAGAAGTGTGGGAAGATCCAAGTGTTCAGGGTAGAGATCCAGAAACAACTAAGACATGAACTTCAAGAGAAGTGGGGAAATCAAGGCCTGAAAAGAGGTGAGGATGATGGGGAAACCCAGATATCTAGAAGGAAGAACCTCAAGGAGATAAGAGAGGAGGATTGGGTGGTGATCAAGGCGCTATGGTGGGGAGACCAGAGACCAGTAGCAAGTGAAATTAACAGAGAATTCAAAATATCATGTTGGGGGAATCAGGACCAGATTAGAGGTGATCATAGAGCAGAAATTCAAGCACTAGAAAAGAGAGACCAGAGAAAGGACAGAGATGAAGATGGTACAAATACCCTGGTACCTGAGGCAGAGAACCAGAGGCAATTAAGAGGTGTCTCTCATGTAGAGACCCATCCACCAGGGAGGAGGAAGCAGGAGCAGTTTGGAGAAGAGAATAGCACAGACATCCAGGCAACAGGGACAATAAACCTGAGAGGGGTTAAAGTTGAAGATGGTAAAGAGACTCAGGAGTTTGGGGAAGAAAACCAGCATCAGTTAAACAGTGAAAGTGATGGAAAGATTCACATACCAAAGTGGAAGAATCAGGAATACATTACAGGCAAGGGTGGTGCAAATACCCAGGCATATGAGGCAGAGAATGGGGTAGAATTAACAAGTAAAATTGATGTAGAAACTCATTCAGCAGAACGGAAGAAAGAGGAGCAGGCTGGATATGAGAATGGTGCAGAAATCCAAGTTCTGGAGAAGAAAAACCAGGGAGAAGCTGGAGTTGAGGATGGTACAGAGATGTGGGCACCTGGGGAAGAAAACCTGAGTCAGTTAAGAGGTGACATTGATGGAAAGACTCATTTATCAGATGGGAAGAACCAGGAGCAGACGGGAGGTGAGAACAAAACAGAAATTCAGGCACCAGAGAAGAGAGAAACTGAAGGTAAGGTTGTTACAGAGACCCAGATACCTGAGAGAGAGAACCAGGGACAGCTAGATGGTGAAATTGGAGAGAACCATCCACCAGAGAGGAGAAACTGGGAGCAGAATAGAGGAAAGAACAATGTAGAAAACCCAACATTGGAGAGGAAAAACCAGAGAGAGATTAGAAACGAGGGTAATAGAAAGATCCAGACACTTATGGGAGGGAACCAGATACTGTTAAAAAGTAAAGTTAATGGAAAGACCGGTTCATCAGAGTGGAAGAAACAGGAGCAGACTGAAGATGAGAATGGCACAGAAATCCAAACACAAGGGAAGAGAAACCTGAGAGGGATCATGGGTGATGATGGTACAGAAAGCCAGACTCCTGGGGAAGACTATCAGGGACAGGTAAGAAGTGAAACTGATGAAGAGATCCAGATACACAGGCAAGGAAACAAGCGTGGAAATGAGGACGCTGCAGAAATCCAGGGTGTAGGGAGCCAGAAAAAGTGCAGAGCTGAGGATGCTGGGGGGCTTCGAGTACCAAGGGGGAGAAACAAGGACCAGGTCAGAGGAAAGGATGCTGCTAAAGGCAATCTCCAAGGTGACTATTCTGGGGGTGAGGGGCCCCCAGCCTTCACTGGCTCTGGATACAGGGCCATGAACCAGGAACAAGCAGTGGCTTCTGCCCCCTGTCCAGAGATCAAGCCTCTCTTCAACCAGGGAGAACTCTTCCTGCTCAACAGTGGGGAGGGAGAGGATTTGGCCAGCCAGGGCACAGCCCCTGCAGGGAAGCACAAAGTGGGTATCAAACCATCTTCCTGGCAGGCCCAACCTAAACTCCAAAGAAGCCGACAAAGGGACAAAGGAGCAGATCCAGGCAAGGCCTCTGGCCTGACTCGACAGCTCCGGGACCCACAGTCCTTGGATGCTCCCGTGGGCCTGCCCTCTGCCTGCCCCTCTGTCTCACATGGCCAAGCCCTCCAAGCTGCCCCAGCTCTGGTGGATGTTCCCTCTGCCCTCACCATCCTGCCCAAGAGGCCAGTTCACAAGAAGAGCCAACGACTGCTCCTGGAGTCACTTATGCGGCGGAAGATTGCACACCTGAAGTGGGGCTTCCCCCAGCAGATCCTAGAGTCCTATTTGCTCTTTAACTTCTTAGGACCATGCCCACTGCCCCTTGTTGGGCTGAGGCTCTCTGGGTTACACACATCCTGTGAGCTGCAGGGCCAGCAGGAAAAGCGTTGTGAGACCCATGGTTTGAGGCCAGGCCCTAAGTCCCTAGAGAGGTCCTGGAGGGCTTGGTTCCCAGAAAGAAAAAGTGTAAAACTTCCCACACAGGCCAGAGCCCTGGAGAAGCATAGACCAAACTGGTCAGAACCAATGGGCACTTCTATCCATCCTGAAAAGCCTAAGAGAGTCAGGCCACAAGGGGGCCCCAAAGAACCACAGGTTGTCCAGAAAGAGGCTCCTCACAGGGCCAAGCTCACTGCTCCCAGGAACCCCAGGCCTACTGCAGAATCTAGGAGCTGGTGTGGCCAAGAAAGGGTCCAAGAACCTTCCAGTGAGAACAGCAGGGACAGGAAAATGATCAGGCCAGGGGTCTCCCAGATGGCAGAGAGGGCTCCCAGCAGAGTGAGGATCTCATACTCCAGGGCAGTCTACAACCACTGGAGGGAGGAGCACACATCTTGGGAGCTCTCCAGACTCAAATGTCAGCAGCCCACACACAGGAGAAGAGGAAGCCTGGAGCCTGAGGGCTGCAGAGGAGCTGGGCAGCAGCCTTTCTCCTGTTCCACAGACACCTTCAGCTTCAAAAGGAGTCTCCACTCTGCTGCAGCAAGGCTGAGCATAAGCCTTTTGAACAAGATCTCCTGGTCCCCACATCTGGCCAAGCCCCAGCACTCAGCCCCCAACCTGAGTGTGCAAGATCCTGATCCTACCCTGCTTCCCAAAGTGAGTGACCCCCATGTAAGGGAGGACAGCCTCAGAGTCCACGCTTCTTTGAAGAGGGACCTTCAGCCACCAGGTCACTGTGGTGCTGGTGCTGTTCTTCCCAAGACAGAAGAACTTGGTAAAATTGAGAACCCAAATGGTGCCCCACAGAATCAACCAGCCCCACAGAAGTTTGGTTTTATGAAGCATTTGAGGTGTTTTCTGCTCCAGCATGGCTTTAGAAAGTAGGCCACGGGCCCAGAGTCTTCAAAACACGTCAGAGAAGGCATGAGAGAGTGGCCTGCTGACCCCCAAAGGGGGTGATAAAATAACCTCTAATAAAATTGGTCATTTGGGCCCTCTGGGTTTCTGATTTCTTGGCCACATGTTATATGAGTGCCCTCTTTTGGAGTCTGGGATACTCTGAGTGGGACAGAAGCCATTTCTACTCTATGGTTTGTAGGCTTGGGGACTGTGGGTCAGTCCAATGTCATCTCCTAAACACATCCCCTCCCTGGCTCCTCACAGTAGGGTTCACTGAAGTTTCTATCATGGTTCCATTCTGACCTATTCCGGGCTGATTCTGATTGAGGTAGGATGCTCAAACAGCCTCCACTGCCTGCAGAGGAGGGGTGATGCTCTGCACTGGGCACTATTTTTCAGGTCACAAGGAAGGGACCTGATCACTGGGTATCTACCCTGCTGGGATTCTGCCGCCCATGAGCAAGTTTCATGGAAAAATCATTTCCACCTCTTCAATTCTCAAGCACTGCCAACCAACTGCCAATAAGTAATTATACTTGTTTCTTTGCCTCATCCACCTGTGGGACATCCTGGAGCTAATTATTTGTTTCAATCAAGTCTGAAACTTCTTAGCCAAAGGGCATTATGTCTGATGATACCTCTGTAGACAGCCTCAGCCTGTGGAAACAGAGTCACAGAACCTAAACTAGTGAATGCGGGAGCTGGGAATTTAATTCAGGTTTTCTCCTCCTCTCTCCTTTATCCTCTCTTTTTTCCTTTCTCTCCTCCTTTCTCTGCTTTCATTTAACTTTTCTAGTTTTCAATTCATTGTAAAACTCATACATGCTTATTTAAGGGAGTTTAGAAAATTCAGAAAAGGAAAAAACAATCCATAATCCCATCACCCAGTTAATGTTTTGATGTTTTTCTTCCTATGTGTTGCTGTCCACAAGGTATTCCCGTAGCAATTTGTGCCAACCCTTACCACAGCACTTATACTGTGGTAGGCAGCCTCTAAGAAGACTCCAATGCTGTCTCCTGGTATTCACGCCCTGTGTATTCCCCTCTCTTTGAGTGTAGGTTGAATCTAGTGACTCACTTCTAACAAACAGGATACAGCAGAAATGATGGAATGTCACTTCCAAGAACAGGTTACAAAGACTGTAGCTTTCATCTTGGGCAGACTTCTTTCAACTCTCTTGTGTGCTCCCTGAAGGAAGCCATTCTCCAAGTTGTGAACTGCCTTATGGAAAGGTGCCTGTGGCAAGGAACTGAGGAGGCCACTGGACAACAGCCATCAAGAAAGTGAGGCCCTTGGTCCATTGGCCCTTGAGGAACTGAATTCTATCACTAATCATTTTTCAGCCCTAGTGAGTCTTGAGATAACTAAGATCTCATGAGAGACTTCGAGCCAGAGTCACCTAGCCGTCCTGGATTCCTGATACACAGAAACTATGCAATTATAAATGTTTGTTGTTTTAAGCTGCTATATATTGGGGTGTGTTGGTTTTCTGTGGTTACTGAAATTATCACAAACTTGGTAGCTTAAAACAACTGAAATTTATTCTCTCAGTTCTGGAGGCCAGAAGTCTGAATGAAATCAAGATGTCAGCAGGGCTACATTACCACCAAAGATTTTAGGGGGCAATCAGTTTTTGTCTCTTCCAGCTTCTGGTTGCTGCAGGCATTTGTTGGCTTGTGGCACCATCACTTCGATCTCTGCCTCTGTGGTCACACTGCTTCCTCCTTTGCTCTGTGTGCCTCTTCTCAAACACGTATCATTGGATTTAGGGCCCACGGGATACTCTGGATGATCTCCTCATTTCAAATCCTTAATTTAATTACAACTGCAAAGATCCTTTAGAAAAAAGGTAACATCTATAGCCTCTGGGGATTTTGGATGTTATGTTGGTTTGCTCCAACTGCTATAACAAGATAGTACAACATTCTGGGTGGCTTAAACAACAGAAATTTGTTTTCTTATGGTTCTGGAGGCTGGAAGTCTAAGATCAATGTCCTGGCTAATTTGGTTTCTGGTGAGAGCTCTCTTGGCTTAGAGATGGTTACCTTTTCACTATGTCTCACATGGGTTTTCCACAGTGCATGTACATAGATGGAGAGATGGATATTTCTCTCTTCCTCTTCTTATAAGGACTCCGATCCTACCCTTAAGACATCATTTAACTTTAGTTACCTCCTAAGGCCTTATCTCCAAATATAGTTGTAATAGAAAAGAACAAATCTGATTTCATATTAGATCTATTCCTTTGACTTTAAACCTGTGCTGTTTCCCATGCTGAGTCATGCTGATTCTGTACATTTTGTAAAAGGATGTTGCCTAGAGCTTGAAACATACAGGATAGCCCATTCTCAAGGCTCTGATCTTCAAGGGTATAACACTTAACCATTTCTCATTAAAATGCTAAGGGTACAAAAAATGCAGAAACATATAAAAAGTGGCAGAATAGAAAATAACATTTCTCTTGTTGGAGGTTTGCAGGAACAACACTACCTGACATACGTGGATAGCTGCAAGAACATAGGATTCCAACACCAAGAAGTTTACAACAACCAACCACATCCCCTCCCTTTTTCAGTATAAAAGGAGCCTGAATTCTGACTTGGGGGAAGATGGTTCTCCAGGACCTTAGTCCACCATCTTCTTGGTATGCCAACTTTCTGGATAAAGTTGTTTTTCCTTGCCCTAACACCTTATCTCCCAATTTATTGGCCTGTCATGCAGCAAGCAGAATGAGTTTGGACTCAGTAACATAGTCACATTAAGGGTTAGGGCTTCAACATCTGAATTTGGGGGACACAACTGGGTCCACAGCAGACACGGAGATGTCTTTTTGAGGGTCACCATTCTATCCATTACAAGGATTATTATGCAGTAATAGATAACTAATACATCTATGCTCTATTATAATAATTTACTTGTCTGTCTCCTTGACTGGGCTTCTAGTTCCCCGAGGGCAAGGACTGTCTCTTGCTCACTTTTGAATCCCCTAGCTCCTAGCATAGCTCCTGGCTCTAAATTCTGTCAAAAAGAATACACACTTTGTTGACATTAAAAACATATACATGGAATAATACTTAATGATATGGAAGATGTACATGATATATTTTTTCTGAGAAAAGCTTACACACCTTTGTATGTTGCTGTTGTAAAAAGGTATAGAAAAAGACTAGAAGATATATCAACATGTTATTTTTCTTTTATTTTCTTCATTGAACATGTATTACTGCTATAATGTAAGATGTGTTGAATGTTGCTTATTTATTTTATATACATATATATTTCTGCATATTTTTGTACTTTTAGCATTTTAATGATATTTTTTCCATGTTAATATTTACTTTTCTCAACCATTACTTCGTAATACTCCGTTAAAAATAAGTCATCGTTTTCCAAATTATTTTGCTATGGAAAGCACTTTTCCCACTCAGTCACATTGCTTCTGAATGTAGGAAACACCTCTTGAACTTATCTCCTTCAACATTAACCAGTTGCTGAGCACTTTGGTGCTAAATAAATCCTTATAAGTTGACGGGTTGTTATTAATATATTTAACAATAAATTCTGCTTTCTTCAGTATTCCTTCTGTGCTTGCAAAGTCCCAAGTGCTGTGCAACCCTCTATGAGAGGGTATCTTAAGAGGACTATATAAGAATCTTTGAGAGAAAGGTGTCACATAAATTTAAGATATTAGTGCTAACAGCTTTTGGATAAAAATCCCTGAAATCGTTTATTCAATTTTTTAATAGTAGAAATGGATCGCTTCCTTTCTTTCCTTTTTCAAGGCTAATGACACGGTCTTAATAACTGCTTTTCAGCCTTCGGTGTGGTGCAGACGAACTCCAGCAAGCTTTAAAAGCAAACAGCGTCGGATTTAATGGACACTTTCCACAGTCCCACGGTCCATCACCCGCCCTCAGGGGCAGCCGCTCGCGTGAGAGCAGCTAGTCCTCGGTCCGCGCAGGCGCATTACCGCCTCCCCGCGCGCCCGCGCAGAGCTCTTTCCAAGTGCGCTTGCGCAGAAACTGCGCGGGAAAAGGTGCCGCCGCGTTAGAACGCTAGTGGAGCGATGGCTGTGAGGGAGGCGGTGGCAGGACTTCCCGGGACCGGGAGGGACGAAGAGGAGGCACTGCTCTTCGAGAAGGCCCATTACCGGCACGACTCGCGCTGGCTGCTGCCCGTGCCTCCACGCCTCTGCCTGGCCTGCGCTCTGGAGCTGCTGCCAGAGGCCGGCGTGTCGGTGCGAACTGGGCCCGGGCATTTTCCTCATCAACCGGGGCCGCCGCTCGCCGGACCAGATCCTCTGAACCCAACGCACCTTCCCGGAAACTAAACCGGGCCCACCCGCCTGGTTAAATCTAGCCCCTAACCAGGCCAGCCTTCTTTACTGTGCCTCCTCAGCCTGTCTACCCCACAGGCCTTCCCGCTCCGGCCTGGGCATCCCCTTTTCAAACGAGGCCCTGCCCCTGGCTCAGTGCCTCAAGTGGGCCATCCCTGTCCTCACTCAATCGGGGGCTCCCAGGGCCCCTCAAAAATCTGGCACGCGTTCCCACCTTCCCTTCCGCTCTTCTCTCGGCTGCCCTGCCCTTTGCTGACCCTCTCCCATTTCTCCAGGATTTTACCTTAGCTCAGCCTGTGAGCCGGGCACATAG